AAAATAAAGCTGGAGACACCACACTTCCTGATCTAAAATTATACTACAAGCTACAGTAATTAAAACAGTATGGTACTGGCATAAAAAAACAGACACATAGACCAGTGGAAGAGGATAGAGAGCTGAAATAAATCTAAACAGTCAACTAATATTTGACAAGAGTATGAAGAAGACATAATGGGGAAAGGATAGTCTCTTCAATAAATGGTGCTGGAAGAACTGGGTTTCCCATGTAAAAGAATGAAATTGGACCTTATCTTACAATATACACAAAAATCAACTCAAAATGGATTAAAGATCTAAACATAGGACCTGAAACCATAAAACTACCAGAAGAAAACACAGGAGAACAGTTCCCTGACACTGCTTTTGGCAATGATATTGTGGGTATCACACCAAAAGCTCAGGCTACAAAAGCAAAACCACATAAATAGGACTACATCAAACTAAAAAGCTTCTGCACAGCAGAGAAACAGTCAGCAAAATGAAAAGGCAACCCACGAATTAGGCAAAACCCAAGAATTAGGAAAAATACTTGCAGACCATGTATCTGACATAAAGTTGGTATCTAAAACTTAACTCAGGCAACTCAATAGCAAGAAAACATATAACCTGATTAAAAAGTGGGCTAAGGACCTGGACAGGCATTTCACAAAAGATGACATACAAATGACCGAAAGACGCTCAACATCACTAACCATCAAGGAAACGCAAATCAGAACCACCATGAGATATCACCCTACACCCACTAGGAGAGTTATTATCAAAAAGAGAAGAGATAGTAAGTGTTGGCAAGAGCGTGGAGAAACAGGAACCCTTGTACACTGCTGGTGGGAATGTAGATTGGCATGCCCATCATAGAAAACAGTGTGGAGGTTCCCAAAGGAATTAAATCTAGAACTACCGTACGGCCCAGCAACCCCTCTTCTGGAAATATACCCAAAGCGAATCAAATCGCCTTGAAGACAGCTTCGCTCCCATGTTCACTGCAGCAGTTTGCATAAAAGCCAAGAAATGGAAGCATGCTGAGTGTCTGTCCATGATGAATGGATAAAGACACTGTGGTGTATGTATATGTATACAATAGAATATAATCCAGCCTTTAAAAAGGAGACCTAGAGGACTCTATGCTAAGTGAAATAAACCAGACAGGAAAGAAACATATGGCATGATCTGATATGATGGAATCTTAAAAAAAAAACAAAAAACAAATATACAGAAGTAGAGAGTAAGATAAAACAGTGGTTACTGGAGCAGGGTGGGGACGGAAATGGGGAGCTGTAGCTCAAAGGATGCAGAGTAGCAGGTGTGTAGGTCCCCAGGCCATACCTTAGATCTCTGGACTTCAGATCTAAGGTATGGTGTGGGGACTGTAGTTAATGAGAGTGTACTCTGTCAGGAGTTTCACTAAATGAGATTATAGCTGCTCTTGCCATGAAGGGAAAAATGGGTAACTACGTTACTTCATATGTGTAACTCATAACATGTTGTACAACTTAAATATACTCGATAAAAAAAAAATTTCTTTTTAAAGAACTCAGAGGCGGGGTGCAGTGGCTCACACCTGTAATTCTAGCACTTTGGGAGGCCGAGGCAGGCAGATTATCTAAGGTTGGGAGTTTGAGACCAACCCAGCCAACTTGGTGAAACCTCCATCTCTACTAAAAATACAAAAATTAGCAGGGCGTGGTGGCTCACACCTGTAATCCCAGTCACTCAAGAGACTGAGGCAGGAGAATCGCTTGAATCCCGGAGGTGGAGGCTGCAATGAGCCAAGACAGTACCACTGTACTCCAGCCCGGGCGACAGAGCAAGACTCTATATCAGAAAAAAAAAAAAAAAAAAGACAAGACTCAGGAGCCAGGTTCCCATTGGGTAGAAATGGAGAATTTGATCACCAATAAAGATAACAGCTGCAATGCACTGAAACATCAAACATTTCAATTCACAAGCAATACAAAAAAGGAAAACCTTCCAGTCACCCTTGGAGAGTGCCAGAGCAGCTCCTCGTTTGAAAATCGCTAAATAAAGGACATAAATATTTATTCTTTCCCATATAAGCTGTTCCTCAGAGTAATCTACTAATAAGGGGAAATATACATTCCAAATTTCACTCTAAAAATGAAACAGGAACAGAAAGAAATATGGAGGGAGACTCCATAGATTGAAAGACATTTAAAAGATATATCAAACAATTGTTTTATGTGACCCTTAATTGAATCTTAATTCAATGAAAATCTAAATAAAATTCAAATTTATGACATTTATGAACAACTGAACTTCGAACACTTAGTATGCAATCACTATCCATTTTTAGAGTATAATGGCATTGGAGTTATACATTTTAAAAAGCATCCCTTAACCTTTAGAGATAAATGCTCGAGTACTAAAACACCTGCGGATGAAATAGTGATTTCTGGGATGGATTTGTTTCAAAATAACAAAGAAAAGAGAAGTGTCTGGAGCACTTACAGACTAGCCATCAGTACGTTTGCTGTTCCCCCAGAGGACCTAGGCTTTGTAGATATGGTCTCTTTTCCTCTCGGGAAAGCCTCTGAATCTGCCAGCTATTGGTCCTTCGAGACACTTGCAAAGGTTATCTTCCTTGATCTCAGCACGCTGAATCCAGCGCGGCATCACATATGTCCCAGTCCTCTAGCGCAACACTCAAGGCCTTTGCTCCGGTGGACTGTGAATGTCCCAGACTTCTTAACTAGATTGCCAATAGGGATTATACCTTATTCATTTAATCGTCTGTCATGCAATCATGCTACTGGATGGCAAGAAAAACATCTGAGTTAAGGAGGAAAAGGAATTGGAAGGGAGAGGGAACCAGATAGGAAGAAAATGATTGAAGTACTATTACTTAGAAGAACTATGAAACAATGAGATGTTACCCTGAAGGGAGTCATTCTAAGACTATATATAGCCTTGTGTAACGGCACTGAGTCAATTCAAGCCTAATCCTAGAATTTTAAAACATAAATGACTACCAGTAGGCTGTTTATGGCTCACTTATAACTTCAACTCAAAGGCAGCTGACTTTATTCACTAATTTTAAGAAGGCGCCTCCACGGTATGAGCCTAACAGTGGTAAAGCTTTGTAAGCATCCCTGTAAGGAGTCTAAAATGAACTGTGACCAGTGATGATACGTGTCATGCATCATGACTAATCCAATGTAGAGTACCTGAGGTCCATTAAAAAACAAAATACTACGAAAGTCAGGCGTCCGCCTGTATAGTAACGCACAGATCTCCACAGCAGGGAGGACACGGCAGGGGGATGAGAGCGAGGAGGCTCATCTAGAACGAAATGACTGATTTAACTAAATGAGTAATGTCGCTGATTATAAAGCAGATCATACATTTTAGAAGATTTATAAGGAAGCCTCCCTTAGGATCACAAGGGCAGCAGGCACACAAACCCAATCTACAACTTTAACAATTTGGGAATAAGAATTGGATACATTATTTTAAAGCTGATACTCTATTTACAAGTTTCAGTGCTACCTAGAAATAAAAGAAAACTAACTGCACTGATTCCCAGCGTCTCCTCCACAATTTCCTGGAAAATCTACTTTCCTTTTACAAAGGGTGCTGACATGCAATGCTCAGATTTACGTACGTGAAGTAGCATTCCTAGGTCAGCTTTTCTGTTTCCAGAAGAAGAAACCTCACAAAATCTAGTTTACTGAAAGGCATAAAAAAGTTTAAGCATCTGTTAAAAAGCTACTTGGAGTTCAGGCTCACAAAATGCTTCAAAACCAGCCAGGTAAAACTTAAAACTTCCAGTCAGAATGAGAATTACGGGAGCCTGGACTAAAGTCAGGGGACAGAGGTGGCTGGAGGCAGGATGGTGTTACTGCTACTACTTTGCTTAAAACAAGCCTTTTTGATGCAGAAAAGATAAACTTGTCAAAGAACAACAGATGACAAATCAAAGACTAAAGCATTTCAGCCTTGTGCTCCTTGGCAGAGACTGCCTGCTGTTTGAAGAAATACAAACTCTGAGTGAACTTCCTAGAGGCTCAGGAGGCTTCAGATAAGAATTCACAGAACCTTAAGAAACAGAAAAACCTACCAGCACTCTGATCCCTAATAAACATAAAGAGCCATATCATTTAAATCTTACCAAGAAAAAAACAACAAACTTCTTTTCAGAAAACTCCCATAAAGTTTTAAGCTAGTTCAAGACTGTGTTTTAAACAGAAATTCTGGTTGTTACAAAGTAATTCCAATGGAATTATATAAGATTAAAATTTAATGACAGATAAGCATCAAGAGGTATTCTAAACTACCCTTAGCACCGTTAGGGAAATCCTGCTAACTTCAGGCTAAGTTTACGCTGCTTCTTGCATTATTCTATGGAAGGATTGGCCTACCATATTAACCCATCGGAACCTTATTTTAATACTTTAAAACCAGTCTAGGAAAGACAAGTTTCTTAGTCTCCATCCAATCATGATTCGGTGATAAATTATCCAAATGACTTAATTACAAACAGTTTGAATTACAAAGAACCCCTAAGGCACAAGAAAATGTTTATTTAAATTACTATTAAAAAATACTTTCAGATAGCTTCAAGCAATAGAGTAACACTCACTTATACAAATATTTGCTGTACTAATTACAATTAGTTCTTATTATAGCAATCCCATTGGGACAGTTTGAACAATAAGCTGGGGTTGAAGCTGTTTTTTCCTCTAGAACAAAAGTTCTTAAACCCCAAACTCAAATAAGAAAGAAGAACTTGAATACAAATGCTTTTTACAACATTGAACTAACCCGTGTTGAAAGATCAATGTTTAAGTACTCAGTGTGTGGACGTCTGTTGCTTGTGTGTGCATACCTACATATATGTACAGCACCTGTAAGGAACAAATACTACGTACTCTAAAGGAACATAAATAATGGACTGACAGTAGTTCTTTTCTCTTTAGCTAGACAAGTATTTAGGCTTGTTACATGAAAATCAAATTAAAGATGAAAGGTTTACCTACCTGAAAAGATTCTGGACTGGGTACATCACTACCAGGTCAAGGGAGTTTATATGGCGAACGCAGAACTAGGCCATGATGTGTAAAAAGGGAGGCGGCCACCTTTCTCACTGAGGGCATCCGGGTTGTATGCGGCTCCACTAGTGCCTTTGGTTTATAATCCTTCTTCATTTTTCACATTTTCATCAATTCAGAATGCCTTGTTATCTTAAACAAGTATTCTTAATCATTTGTTCACTTGCTTGCCAATATATTTAAAGAGCTGTTACATTTTAGGTGAATTTCTTGGAACTGATAAACCTAATAACTGAAAATCAGGGTTAAGTCTATAAATGGCGCCAGTACCTTCCTAAAGCCAGTACGGAAGTGAAGAGGCTTGTGACTCCTTGCTCTTCTCTTGCACGGTTGGTGCTCTGTTTCTACAACACCAAGCAGCGTGGCTGTCTTGGTAAACAGGGGAATGGCGCCAGCAAAAGCGGGGAGTTGCATGGTGCACACATGACATATCCTAGGCAAGGGAAGCCAGGACAGTGTGAGCAGAACTATAACCACAGGAAAGAAAGAAAAAGTCCCAAGTCTCAGCGTGGCTGCGACATAGGAAGGACACCTCCAGTCTATTTTAAGAAAATTAAGCATGAGCTATGCCCCCAAAGGGCTCACCCTACAGGGTTGGACCCTGAGACTGGGCAATGCAGGGGCACAAAGGCTCTGCCCCTTTCAAAGATCTGGGACAGCTGGGAAGAGCTCCCTACGGAGTCAGCCGAAAACTTCAGTCTACACTGCAGGCCCCATCTTCTCCCTATGTAATCTTGCTTCGTCCCTCTTGCTCCCCCAGCAGTGGTCCTGAAGGCACTCCTACGAACTTTCTGCAGGCCGACTACCAACCTGCAACCCAGCAACTCTCCCCAGACAGCCCTCAGCTAGTGGCAGATTACACTCCATTGTGGCCCCTTAATGGGGAGCATGTCTATTCGACCGTCTTTGAACATTTTTAAGACTTCCAAGTAGCCCCCTGGTCTGAGTGAATTATCTCATGAGGAAACAATTACTATGTGTGTGGAGGGATAGGCAACATGTATTCTGGTTGCAAAACGATATACATTTTAGCACTTTGACTCTTACCCAATTTTTCCCATGAGCTCTGTTACTTTTAATGTGGAACTTTGCAAAATGTAGTATTTTTTATGAATGCATAAATTGTGTTATAGCAGAGATGTCTGTATTTGACATATTATATGTTTCTGCACACACACACACACACACACACACACACACCCCTTTTTTCAAGAGACAGAGTCTTGCTCTATCACCAGGCTGGAGAGCAGTGGTGCAAACTTAGCTCACTGTAGCCTCAAACTCCTGGGCTCAAGCAATCCTCCCACCACAGCCCCCCCAGGGAGCTGGGACTATAAGCACATGCACCACCATGCCCAGATAATTTTTAAATTTTTCGTAGAAATGGGATCTTACTATGTTGCCCGGGCTGGTCTCCAAATTCTGGGCTCCAGCGACAGGTGTGAGCTACCATGCTTGGCTGACATATCTTGGCTGACAAAATACTATTTGATATTAGTATTTTGAAAGAGTTTACAATTTTATTACCTTTCAGATTACACTGTAAGCTACATGGCAAAAACTATTTACCTTTTGGTAAAGAGCCACACAAGGGAAATTATGGATAAACATGGATTCAGCAGGGATGGTAATCTACGTGGTAAAGTGAGTTAGTGTAGGGTCTCTTTACAAAGTGAATATATTAAAGCCCACTGGGAAGATGAAATCAACAAAATTCAGGATATGGGAAATGCTGTAAGACAAGGAACCCAAAGTGTCTTCAACAATAAAATGTAAAGAAAAAAGAGAGAAGGAATGAGAACCTATGCTTAAGAGAGTCTAAAAGACATTATCTATTAATCTATAATATACAGACCTTGTTAGATTCAAACACCTACTCAAAGTAAACAGTTAGACAGCAGGGGAAACTGGACTTGATGATATCGAGAAACTGTGGTTAATTTTTTTAGGTGTGATAACGGTACTGTGATTGTGTGTTATGGAGTCCTTATCTTTTAGATATATAATACATACAGCTAGAATGATATGATGTCTAGGAACTGCTTTGGTAATAAGGAAAAGTGGGCCGGAATACAGCTGGAATGAGGCTGGCCATGAACTGATCATTGTTAAGCTGGGTTTTGGGCACAGAGAGACTCCTTTATTATTCTCTCTACTTTTATACACATTTAAAGTTTTCTATAAGCAACAGTTTTAAAAGCGAATGTAGGTTAGAAACAGTGGCTCCTGCCTGTAATCCCAGAACTTTGGGAGGCCAAGGTGGACAGATCACATGAGGCCAGGAGTTCAAGACCAGGTTGGCCAACATGGTGAAATCCTGTCTCTACTAAAAATACAAAAAAATTAGCTGGGCATGGTGGCATGTGCCTGTAATCCCAGCTACTCAGGAGGCGGAGGCAAGAGAATTGCCTGAACCCAGGAGGTGGAGGTTGCAGCAAGCCAAGATCGTACCACTGCACTCCAGCAAGACCCTGTCTCAACAACAACAACAAAAAAAAAAAGAAAGAAAGAAAAAGAAAATAAAAGTGAATGTGTATCTGCTGGTATAACATCATTAGAGTTTTTCCTGGAGTGCAGTAAGTAACCCAAGGCATCTGTATCTAAGTGAAAGTGGTCACAGAGAGTGGCCTACCTGAAGCCTGGGAGTCCCATTATCCTAGGAGAAATCATCGTGGTCTCTGACAGAAAAACAAGGCTGAGGGGAAGCCAACCAAGGCAGAACGGTGACCCCATCTGTGCGCTGACTCAGACAGCAAAGTGGTGGGTTTCCCTTATGAGATCATGGATTGGCCGCCAGCGATGGCTACTAATGTTAGAACAGGGTTTTTCCCTGAAAGAGTCACAATTCCTCTCCCTGGCAAAACAGGAACTGGTCCTAACAGGAATATTATGTAATACCAGAACTGAGGCGTTCAGGAAAAGCAGGATGAGGGTGGGGGTGGAGATGGAAGAGCAGAGCCCTTTGTAGGAGTGTGAAAGGGACAAGACCAGCACCGGCTTCCTGCCAGCCTCCCCCTTCCCGCCTGCAGCTCCTTCTCTCCCAGGCACCTCAGAGGTGGACAGAGCATGGAGCCGGAATGAAAGGATCCCACCTTCTCCAGGACAATGTAACTGACAGTGTAACTGAGGGGACCCTGCATACAGAGAAGACAGGCTAGCGAGGAGCTATGCTGGACAAGTGTCCTTTCTTTCTTTTTTCTAGCTGTACTAAGGTATAAGGACAGAGAAAGACTCTATGTTTAAGGTGTGTCCTGTGATGTCCTGATCCACACGCACACAGTGACATGATCCCTACAGTCAAGCTAATTAACACGTGCATCACTTCTCACAGTTACCTTTGTGTGTGGTGAGGGCATGTGTTCTTATTAGTTGTGGTCGCCATGCTGTACGTTAGGTCTTGAGAACGTGTTCATCCTAGCCTCTGTCCAGAGGGGAACCCCGTGCAATGTAGAGAGGGCAGTGGTCAAAGGGGTCACATTTTAGGAATGTTCTCAAATAGCACAAGGACCATAGCAACACATGTCACAGGCCCAGTGGCAGAGCCAAAAATGCAAGCTGCTGAAGAGACAAAACATCTCCATTTGTGTTCAGAGTTCAATATAGTCTGTATCCTATGACCCTGCTTTTGAGACAGACAGGAAGAGTGCACCCCATTGAGACCACACGCACACACCTCCACGTGCCCTGCTTTTCACTGTGGTTACCTCTGGCTGTTTGGATCATAGATTTTTCTCCCCTTCCTTTATAATGTATTATGTATAGGTCATGATTTTTCTAGAGTGGACAGGTACTGCTTTTGTAATTTAAAAATATGTCAAAACACACACACACACACACACACACACACACACGAAAAACCCTACCAGCCTAGAACAGAGTGCTCTCTCTATGAGGACAACTGCATTCAGGCCAGGCTGCTGCCAGAGCCAAGTGGCAGATGCTGGCCCTCCTGTCTGGACAAGACACAGGTTGGGGGTCCCTCTGTACTCTCTCTCAGGACTCAGGTTCCCTCCTCATCTCTTTCACTTCCAGAAGGTCCCCATGTCTCTCTCAAAGTTCTTCTCCCACTACGCCCCGCTGATGTGTTTCCCGGCGCACCATTCTGACCCTTGCTAACACTGCTGAGTGCCCACCATGCGTGAATGATCCGCTAAGGGGAGGAACACATCATGGCGAAAGCAAGGTCTTCCCTTGAGGAGCTCCTGCCCCCAAGTCTGTAACTCCGAGTGTCTGTATCCTCTAAACTATTTTCACAAGCATATTATCTACATCATGCTCAATTAACTGGTCTACAAACCAAATTATTATTGACAAGTTCTTCTGAGCTTCGTTTGCTCAAACGTCTTTCCCCAGACCAGGGGTATCCAATCTTGTTGCTTCCCTGAGCCATGTTGGAAGAAGAAGAATTGTCTTAGGCCACCCATAAAACACATTAACACTAATGATAGCTGATGTGCTTAAAAAAAAAAAATCGCAAAAAAAAAAAAATCTCACAATGTTTTAAGAGACTTTATGAATTTGTGCCGGGCCACAATCAAAGCCGCCCAGGCAGCATGCAGCCACTGGCCACGGGCTGGACAAGCTTGACTGGGACCATTACCTTTCCGCCAAAAAGCTTCTAAGGAATTAATGCTAAAGAAAGGACATGACATATGCGTTCACTGAAACTGGGGCATTTGTTTTAATTTTAATTATGAAAGGTCACTAATTTCAATAGCCAAAAAAAAAAAAAAAAAAGACCCTACTTGTAAAAATAAAAGTATAGTGAATTTACAAATCATTCTGCCTCAGGGATCTCTATCGAAACAGCAACATGAATACAGTTAATGCTGTGGTAACAAATCATGACAACGTGAGTCACTTATGAGCCTTTTAATACATTCTTTATTACCTGTGCAGATTCAGCTTAAGATAAACTACAAATAAATACTGCAGTGAGTATCTAGTAACAGATTCAGAGGCAAAATAATTCCATTGGGGTGTGCAAAAGCTATCCTGCTCAACATAGCTTTTGGGTAAGAAGGTAACTACATTCAAAGATCTGGAATGGTTTTAAATCTGAACAAATGTAAACTGTTTTTCAAAAATGGACTTGCTAGTTGCTAAGCTGTTGTCATCACCAGAATAACTTTCTTCACTGTTTTTTCTCTTCGAAAGTAAGAATGAGTGGAAATGAAGGGATATTTTTAGAAATGGGCTCAGATGTACCACAATATTAATGCTCAATCACTGGTAATCTACCACAATTAAAAATTTCAATTACAAATATATTTTAAAACATATGGATCTTAAAAATTCACACAAATATTTCCTTAACCTATACAGAAAAATAATTTTTATTTATTCGGAAAAACCAGCTTCATCATATACTGACTTTAAATATCTCAACAGTATTACAAAGTAAAAAGGAGCAAACCCTTCGCCTGTCACTACCTTTTTTTTTTGAGATGGAGTTTCGCTCTTGCTGCCCAGGCTGCCGGTGGTGGTACAATCGGCTCACTGCAACCTTCTGCTTTTGGTTGGCAAGCGACGCTCCTGCCTCAGCCTCCCAAAGTGCTGGGATTACAGGCGTGAGCTACCTCGCCTGCCCTCCTGTAACTATTTTTAAATGAGTGAAAAGATGTCTTCAAATTAGACTTTTAGGGATTTGAAATTAAATTCTGAGTGCATGTGTGTTTTTAAGATGACATTTTGTTTTTAGTTATATCAATATAACAAGTGCTCTGAATTCCTCCCAGGAACAGAAAGACCATTTATCTACTGTATGTATTCAGGGCAAGCTTCCTGTCTGGGTCAGACTGAGAAGTTTAATGTTGCTGAAGAACACAGGTGGTGATAAAGGAGGTTGGCACTAGAAATGAACACCTCACGTTTCCAAATACTTTTAAAAAGGATAAATATCATACTTATCTAGAAAGTGGGTATGCATTCAGAGAATCAGAAGATAACATCCAAAAGCTTCTCGATTTTATCAATGCAAAATTCTAAGATTAATTCACTCAAAAAAAATCACTTAGGTTGGGTGAAAATTCTATTGTCAAAGTAAGAAAACTCACCAAATCTATATGGCTAAGGATGATCAAACCTCTGCCTCTGCCAAAAGTTCACAGAGATGCCTCTGACCCGGCTACCAACAGAGGACTGGCTTACTTCCAGGCTGTCTGTCTTCGCTGCTATAATCAATGAAGCAGAAAGGGTTCTTTCTAAAGATGCCGGCAAAATTTTTAACAATCAACATCACCTTAAGTAAAAAATAAAATTCTCTCCCCTGCACTCCCACCCGGGGACGGAGTCTTGCTCCGTCGCCCAGGCTGGAGTGCAATGGTGCCATCTGGACTCACTGCGATCTCCACCTCCTGGGTTCAAGCGATTCTCCTGCCTGAGCCTCCTGAGTAGCTGGGATTGCAGGCACACACCATCACACCCGGATAATTTTTGTATTCTTAGTAGAGACCAGGTTTCACCATGTTGGTCAGGCTGGTCTCAAACTCTTGACCTTGTGATCCACCTGCCCCGGCTTCCCAAAATGCTGTGAGTACAGGCATGAGCCACCGCGCCAGGCCCAATAAAATCTTTAACTTGTGACTTTATGACTTATTTTATACTCACTGCTTCTAAGAAAAAAACCCAAGACTCTCAAGGCATACTGCATTACCTAAATAGGTAAAATTAAAAGTAAAGTGATCTTACCTTATAAACCAAAATTTACCCTATTAGGGAATGCCAAATATTTTGATAGTTACCAAAAAACAACAAAAAGGCCCTAATTCACAAATGCCATTTGATTTTTTTTTTCATGATGCCTAAGCTTCTGTCTCATTCAACTGAATGCAGATTTGTAAGGACAAATAAAATGTAGTTGCTTTAGTTGCCTAATGGTGGTTTAAGAGAAACTACTCTTGTCGCAGAAGAAAAGTACAGGTGTTTCGAAAAGGGAAGTAGCTGATGACTCTGGAGGTCAAGGGTGAAAAGAACCAGTCGGTTCAAATGATAATGGGATGGGAGATTCTGAAAAGAGCAGACAATGATTGCACACAGAATAACTGCTGAGTGCATGGAAGTAGCTTGTTTGCTCAGATAAGAGAGGCTTCCAAGGAACTGTGAGCAAAAAACCCAAGAGGCAGGGCAGCTTGGGGAAAAAGAGCTTCCATCTGAAGTCAAACACTCCAGGCATACGAAATACACAGGATCCCTGGGTGGGGAAATGGAGAGTGAAAGAACTGTGATTTGGTTAATTTCAACCACAGCAGAGACATCTGCAAGAATCCGACGAGTTCCATTTCTACCTCCTATCCAGCCTTTAGCATAAGACTCACATCAGCCCACCTTCCAGAGAGCAGACTGGGAAAGTGAGTGAAAGAATTCTCTATTATACGATGACTCAGCTAGTCAGGCACGCCTTCCGGGTTGCTGTTCTATTTGTTTAGTTCCATTCTGATGATAGATTTTCTTTAAAACATGTAATGTTTGGAATAAGAGAGGTCCTAGAAAACAAACTTGTTCCCTCCACACAGGTGATAAAAATCCATTACTCTGTCTATATTTTTTATCTATGATTTTTTTTCTCTTAGTAACCTAGTATAGCTTTCCTCGACTTATTCTAAGAGCTGTTA